GCCCGCCAGCCAGCTTTGTCTAACCCGGGATGGTGGCACTGGACAGGGTGGAATTCCCAGCCCCCAGCCCTGAGCATGCTCTGAGCCCAGGACAAGCAGCCACAGTCTGAAGCCCTGGAGAGACAGACAAGGATGGAGCCCAAGCAAGGCCCAGCTCTACCAATTGGCTTGAGCCCAGCATTTCCTCTCACCTTCTTCCTGACCAGGAAAGAGGAAGAGGCCAAAAGAACCTAAAAACAAAAGGATAAAACACAAGGAAGGGAAGCCTGAGGTCTTTATCCCAAGCCTGGGGCTCAGGGCAGAGAGACTAGATTTCTTATTTCTCCCTCCCACTAGGCTTCTACAATCCTTCTCTTTGGGGAGGCCCAGAGCTCCCAAGTGTAACAATAGTAGTAAACAACCATGCTGCTGTGGCCCTCTCTGGGGAGCAGAGGAAATTCGGTAGCCCTGGAGACTCCTGATTTCTTTTCCTCCTTTTCCCTCTCGATTCTGCTGTCATATACCACGCCTAGCCTTCTAAAAACCAAAGGCTGACAGCTCAGTGGATGAAAATATCAGGCTTGTTTGTCTGATTGTTGGGGGTTTGGGGGGGTCTTAAAAATATAGAGAATTTTACATTTATGTTATACATCATACATATATATGTATATATATATATATGTATGTGTATATATATGTATGTGTATATATATATGTATGTGTATATATGTATATATATATATATATATATATATATATATAAAATTCAATGCAACAAATATTTATTAGCAACATCTTAGACAGATAATGTGGTTTGGAAGAGTATGAAAGACCCTTATTATTTTCATACTTCTTATCATCATCATCAGTGCCACTGTGAGCAGGTCCCAGCCTCATCCTGGATGTGTGACAGACCTAGGCTACAGAAGTGTGTTTCTGCCCATCCCACATGATGAAGATAGGCAAGGAAGGGTTAATTCCTGGCACAGCCAGGTTCAGGGGAGGGAGGGAAGGAGGAGGGAGCTGTTATTTTTAACCAGATGTTCCTTTTCCTTATCATAACTTCCCTCTTTCTCCAGCTTTGGCCAGGGGAATTCCCTTTCTCATCTCATTTTATTTACACATCTCTAATGAAAATGTTCATGTGTGGCTCTTTTTTTCCCTTTCTTTTTCTTTCTATGCCATCCAGAGGTACTGAAAGGTTGTCTGAGTCTCTGTTCTTTCTCTTGATTTCAACTAGTTTAGTGGTTAAGACCCCAGGGGAGGAGGGTGGGGGGAGGGGAGTCTTACTGATGAAGGAGCCCTGGAGAGCTAGCTAGTGCCCTTTGGCTATAGGGATTGGCCTCTGAGAAGGGCTCTGGGCCAATCCACAAGACAGACATCAAGGGGAGCGGGGGGAGATGCCAGAGAAGACGCCGGCATGTAGCAGCCAATGAGAAGTGCCCCCAAGGTGGGAATCAACCCAGGTCACTAAGGATGACTTAAAAAAAAACACCCAGTTATGTAGGGATTAGATCAGGAAAGTGAAACCAGGCGTGGAGGTGCAGCTCTCCGGAGGTTTAACTTGTAACAGGAAAGTATCCTTCAATTACACTTCACAGGAGAGAAGGAACAAGGCATCTGTCACCCCCTGATGGAGAGAGAGGGAAAGAGAACAGGGAAATCTGAAGTGGCAGAGATGTCTGTAGACTGGGGAGCTGAAGGAACCCTGGAGGAGGGCTCATCTAACACACCTTCATTTCGTAAATGAGGAAACAGGCTCAGAGAAGGCAGTGACTTCTTTGGTAGTATACAGTGAGTAAGTCTCGGAAGCCATAACTTCTGACTCCCAGTCCAGCATGCCATGTGTCTTTAGTTTGGAGGTGGGATTGTTTTCTTGGGGGCGGGGGGGAACAGTGAGTAGATAGATGATAGATAGATAGATAGATAGATAGATAGATAGATAGATAGATAGATAGATAGATAGATAGATACACAGATAGATACATAGATAGATAGATACATAGATAGACAAATAGATAGATGGATGATTCAATTCAACAATATTGGCACCCTCTCAGTAAAGAATAGTGCCTCTCCCCCTAAAAATTACCTTGTATTTCTTTTGTATTTGGCTTGTGTAGACCTCCATGTTGTCTACCCCCATCACCCCACCCTTGCCTCCCACCTCCATAGAATGTCAGCTCTGTGGGAGATAGGACTCATCTCATGCTTGGCTTTGCCTCTCCTGCCCGTTTTATAGTGCTGGCACAGAGTAGACATTTAACTAATGATGATCCATTGATGGTTAGAATGTAAGCTGTTAGGTTGCAGGGACTATTAAGCCTTCATTATTGTATACCTAGAATCTAGTTTGGAACCTGGTACCTGGTAAACACTGACAAATGCTTTGCAAGTTGAGTTGCTATAGTTGAGTAGTTTTCAGTCATATCTGACTCTCTGTGACCCCATTTGGGGTTTTGTTGGCAAAGATACTGGAATGGTTTGTCATTTCCTTCTCCAGCTCATTTGACAGATGAGGAAAATGAGGCAAGCAAGGTTAAACAACTTGCCCATGATCATATAGCTAATAAGGGTCTAAGGCTGGATTTGAACTCAGGTCTTCCTGACTTCATACCTGATTGAGCCACCTAGCTGCTCAAAGTCAGGAAGACCTGAGTTCAAATCCAGCCTCAGATACTTCCTAGCTGTGTGACCCTGGGCAAGTCAGTTAACCTGTTTGCTTCATTTTCCTCATCTGTCAAATGATCTGGGAAGGAAATGGCAAACCACTCCAGCATCTCGGCCAAGAAAACCCCAAATCAGGTCACGGAGAGTCAGACATGACTGAACAATTCAACAACAACCACGACACACAGTGGATGCTTCATCTGTGTCTGTTATATTAAATTGAACTGGACAGAATGACCCCAGTAAGCCTGCTGTGGGTGGAGCACTGGCTTTGGGACTGGAGCAGATATAAGGTGGAGAAGAGCAGACACTTGGCCCTCACCTGTGTGCAGTCTGATGAGATATCAGCAAACACAGACCTCCGCTTACTTAGCAAGCGCCTTGTGCCTAAGAGACGGTGAAACAAGGGGCTGAACCAGATCACCTGGAGAGGGGATGGGAGACCTTGGTGGCAAAGGGAGGAGGCCATGGGAGAGGTGACATGTAAGTGGGTTATTGCTGGCAGGTCCCCAGCCAGGGCCAATCCTGACAGAGCAATTTGACTTCCTTCTGTGATCGAGTGTCAGACCTCTGAGATCAGGGGGAAGCCGAAATGTAATCTAATCTCCCTGGCCTTTAATGGGTCCTTGGAGTCTTTCCCTGCTAGCATTTGCGTCAATAGGCAGGGACACACGGACAATGTCTATACAAAACATCTGGTCAGTTCAATCATGGCCAGTTGCATCCAGGGACCTGGTTATTTGATACTAACAGAGAAAATAACGAGTAGATAGAATATTTTTAGTTTGTTTTTTTTTTTTTTCACTTTCTCACTAGTTGTTTTTAGCAGGGAGTGGACAGGGTTGTAAGCTAAACCATAATTATTTTCTTCTAGAACTGGACTTGGGTTCGAATCTTGTCCTTCTGCTTTGTGAACTCTCTGTGCCCCACTCAGTTCCTAAACATGAAAATTGAGGTGCCTGGACTAGATTGCTGTTAACTCCCTCTCTGGCTCTAGACCCACCCCTCATATTCTTTTAGCTGCCACTGAGGAAGCTTGGCCCTCCCTAGTTTGTGCCAGAGGGGCATAGATTTAGAGACAAAAGAGTCCTTACAGGCCAGAGGGCTCAACCCTTTCATTTTACAGATGTATAAACTGAGGCACAGAAAGGTTAAGTGAGTTGTCTATGGTCACACAGCTAGTGCCTGAGACATGATTTCAATCCTGGTCTTCCTGACTCCAAGTACAGTGACCTTAACGCCACATATAGCTCACTTAAAGTGTTTTCTGTTTCGTTTCTATCATCACCTCTCAGTAACACTGCTAATAGATTCATTAAAGGTTACATTCAATCAAGGGAGATGACTTTTAAGGTCCCTGGAACATAGGACTATAGTTCACTCTAATGCATTTATCATGTAATCATGGGTATCATGGTTATCTGTGTTGGTGCTTTGTAACCCAGTTAGAATAGGAGCTCCATGAGGGCAACCTGGGCCTTCTAGGAACTTTCCAACTCCTATGAACAAATGTACTGAAAGTGTTTGTTGGGAGCGGGGGAGCTTCTGGCCCAGGGCAACTCCCTCAACTTCCACTTCCACTCCCTTAAATTGACTGGGGTCCTCAGACTCTTGGAAACTTTGGCCTTGCTCTTAGCACTCCAGGAAAGATGAACCCACAAAGTAACCACACAGTTGTGCTCTAGAGCAGGGACTTTTCAATTTTTCGTGTGTCACATGACCCTTTGGCAGGCTGGTAGTTGGTGATAATAATGCTTAGCTTTTTGGGGGGCTTTAAAGTGTGCAAAGCACTTTACAAATATTATCTCATTTGATTCTTACAACAAGCCTGGAAAGGAGGTGCTATTATTATCCCCATTTTATAGATGAGCAAACTGAGGCAGGCAGTTTAAGTAACTTGCTCAAGGTCACACAACTAGTGAATGTCTGAGGTCAGATTTTAGTGTAGGCCTCCTGACTATAGTCCAGGGCTCTATCCAATGACTTTACCTATGGACAAAGTCATGCTTTTGAAAAATTGAAAGAAATACTACATTTCAGTGAGAGGGTGATGAAAATATAGATGTAATTGTTTTTTTTCTCATTCAAGTTCATGGACCCCTTGAAAAGGGTCTGTCATCCTCAGGATAAGATTCCGTACTTTAATAGGAACTATGAAATGAAAATTAGAGGGGGATTCTTAGTTCATAAATGAACATGCAAATTGAAGTCTAAATCCCCAGCCCAGGAAGATCAAGGTATTCTTTGACTCTACAATATACAAATCTATTTATAATGTCTCTGTAAAATGTATAATTCTTAAAAACAAAAGACAAGGCACACCCTTAATCTTACACAGAGAATGTTATTAAACTATTGCCTTATAGGCCCAGATGGGCAACAGTTGATACAGAAACATGCTGCCCAGTCAAGGGCACACTGTGATCTTTTACTCATAAGGTATCTGGGAAGAGTGGTCTCCAACTCAGAGAGAACGTGGGACTGAAGGGCAAACTCACAGCTGCTGCTTATCTGAAGTCCTTTTCTCATTTCATGGAGTCCTCAGGAAGTTGCCCCGAGGGGTGGCTCATGGTGTGATCTGAGGGTTGGTGCCCTCATGGAGTCTTGAACACGGTATGTCTCTGGGCTCCCGGTGCCTATGACACCATCAGCCACTGCTGCTCCAGAGTCACTACTCCCAGCTCTGATGGGAGCTCCAGATCTTCTGACCTTTTGAAATTCACAGAGTTATCACTTAGTCAATGAGGAGGAAGAAGAAGAGAAATTGACACTACCTCTACCCCAACCTCCCACCAATGGGCAACTCCCTGTCAAGTTGCCTTCACTACTTTTCTGGACTAGTACTAGAAGGCACAATTTCAAAATGGCTTACTGGGTTATATGTTGGCCCAGAGGTGTGTGACTGATTCCCTCAGCTTATCATTAGACATTTCCCATGCTGTATCATCTATCTTTAGTGATCAAGGTACTCCTTCCAAATGAAGCTTTCGCTTGGTTGATCCCATATAGAGAACTGGATTTCCTGTGATCAACTGAGGTATGGGTGAATCCCTAGACTTAAAACAGAATTGTAAAGGTTTTTTTCAGTCAACTAGTCTAACCACCTCTATCCAAAGGATCAATATCCTCCATGACATATAGTAATAGCCAATCAAATACACAGTGTTCTCTGGCTTACAACTCATTTGTGTGACAATATCCTTACATGGTACACTTATCTATATCAGTGCATTGATGGCAAAACCAATGTGGATACTCCCACCAGTGGCTGAGATCTTGACCCATCTTTGCCTCTTCATCCTTCTCTTGTTCATGTCCTCTTGACCATCCTTCATAGATCTGTGTTGTGGGCTGAGGACTTTCCCTTGGGTCTCCTAATATGTGCGATAGCTAATGAAAATAATTCACACTGATATTTTGTTTTAAGATTGACAAAATGTTTGATCACAAACACTAGTGCGGTAGGTAATGCACATGTAATTATCTCTTCTTGAGTGACTGGAAAAGTAAGCTTCCTAGAACTCACTTGTCCAGAGCCACATACCTGATTACCATTAGAGCTGGTCTTTGAACCCAGGTCTTGCTAACTCCAAATCCGGTGACCTTCCCACTGACTTCTGAGTACTTGGCCTCTTTCCAGAGGGGACAATTGAAACTCACATAACTAAAGTGGTTTCCCCACAGTCATCCACAGAATAAATAATAGAACAGGAACCTGAATCTCCATCTCCTGACCCCAGCTCCAGGATTCCAGTGCACCCTGCTGACATCCCAGCCAGGAGATGATCCATTCTCTGCTGAAGTATTTACAGCACAGGAAACTCACTACTTCAAAAGGCAGTCCATTTTATTTTTAGATACTGGAATGTACTAACAGAAGGACGACAATATGAGGAATCAGAAAGCTATAGTTATCAGAACTGTGTTTATTTTTAGTCTCTACCATCTAAAAGAGGTATACCTATAAAAAGAATTAAATGATAGAAAACTGGTCTTACAAGGGGAAAAAAGAGTAAGGAAGTTGGGATGGTTTAGATTAATAATCATTGCTCTTACCCATGCAGCACTTTAGGGTCACAGTAGTAAAATCAACAAAGGAGCAAAATTAATATTTATGCCCATTTTGTAGTTCAAGAAACTGAGGCTGAAAGAGATTGAGTTCCATAGCTTGTCTTATGACTCTAAGTCCTTTCTTCTTTTTGCTACATGGCACAATCTTTGTTTTATAGTAAACACACAGTTTTTAAGAGGAAGTCATTTAACGTTCACCCCCTTAGGCATAAGGAAATGAATATTTATTGCAGTAAGAGAAAGTTTGGTTAAACATAGAGAAGACCTTGGTTGGAAGAGTAACTCTAACAAAAGGGAAAAAATGGAGCAGTCACGATTGGAGGGACTGAGAGAAGACAGAGCCATGAATGCATTGCTGGTGGAGCTTGAAAAGATTCAGCCATTCCAGGTTTCAGTTTGGAATTATGCAAGAAGAGTAACTAAATATTCCGTATCCTTTGCCCAGTGATCTCACTGCTTACCAAATGCTCCACTGAGGAAGTCAAATACAGAAATGAAAGTCCAATATGTACCAAAATATTAATAGCAACACTCTCTGGTAGCAAAGAACTGGAAACAAAGTGAGTGGTCATTGCTTTAGGAAGTGAATGAAAAAGGCTTGTTATAGGAATATCATCAGGTATTGTGTAGTGAGACATGGCAACTGTGAAGAATATGAAGAAACTCAGGAAGGTTGGAATGAACTGATGAAGCTCCAAAAACACAGTATATGTAACGAGGACTACAGGGTCAATTAAAGGATCCCTCAAAGGAGGCTGACTCTGATTTGGAAAACCAGTGGAAGGCCTGAGGAACAGATGAGAAAGCACACCTCCCCACTCAAATCAGACCAGTGGGGAACTGCTTAGACAGAGTGGTGTGTGCGTTATCACCGGTGGTCGCTGTATCTGATGTTTCCTTTATCACAAGCAATGGTTCAATCTGAAAGGGAAGTGGTTGAAATGACCATGATATGGAGACAAAATGGATCAATAAAACACAGGTGTGGAATGCTCAATCAAAGTAGCCCCCACCCCCGCTTAAAGAATTGGTCATCTCAAGCATAAGCTTTTGATTCACAGTGTGAAAAGTCTTTGAAAGCTATTGGATGAAGTGAAATGATGCCAAATGGGATTTATTGTTCTACCATTTTTCAGACACGTCTGACTCTTCGTGACCCCATTTGGGGTTTTCTTGGCAGAAACCACTGAAGTAGTTTGTCATTTCCTTCTCCACTCATTTTACTGATGAGGAAACTGAGGCAAACAGGGTGATGTGACTTGCCCAGTGTTACATGTTTAGTGTCTGAGGCCAGATTTGAACTCACAAAGATGAGTCTTCCTGACTCCAGGCTGGCCACTTTATCCACTGCACCACCTAGTTGCTTGCCAGACAAGATGTCAATTCCAATTTGCTGAAGGATTTCATCCTGCCATCCTTGGTACTGAATCAGGATCCAGCATCTGGGAAGCCAGAAAGGAACATCCCAGCCAACCCTTGAGGAGGAATCACTTTAGGAAGAAGAGGCCTCAGCATCAGCCTTGGCTTAGTTCTCCTTCCCTGCCCCCTGCCTCTTTTAGCCAAGGGAGGACTGTGTGAGTTTTGAAACATATGGAGAATGTTGGATTTACCTTCTTATCTCAGGTGTTCTAGCGGCACCCACAAATCGGCTGATAGGAGCTTCAGAACCAACGACAGATTTCATGTAGATTCATGGAGGATCCCAGAATAGATGTTACACCATACCTAAGAGGAACCTCTTGCCCGTCCCAGGAATTGCAAAAGACTTCCAGCAAACATGGACCATGAGTTATTCTTTTGCCACATCTGTTCCACAAGCTTGAGCCCTTTTCCCTGGATTCCCTAATATGTTGTGGATAGCGTATCACAGACATTTTGTGTGACCATGGTGGTGGGGTTACACCAAATGCGTTGATTGTATCAGCTTACTAAATACCCCTCTATACAAAATACTTAAGGCTGGCTTGCAAAAACTCTTCTTCACTGATGATCCTGGAGACAAAACACCAGTGGGGGCTTGCGCTAACGGTATTATAGACTCACACCCATCTCCTCAGAGGTAAACCTAGAACTCTGAGTGGGGAATGTAGCCTTGCTCCAGACTTACATGTGAGAATGGGAGTTGGGATAAGGGTCCTCAAAGCTGATCTGAGCTGTGAACTTTTATTTTAAAACAAAACCACTGATCACAGGATCTAGTAAGCCTGTGTCCTCAGCATTTAAAAATGGATCATAGACTCTAGAGTATCTAGGAAACCTAGATCTCAGTAGTGGACCAAGTAACATAGCATATTAGAGCTGGGAGGGACCTCCAAGCCTGTCTGGTCCAATTTCCTCATTTTACAAATGAGAAAATGAGACCTAAAGCTGCTGTGATGTGGCCAAGAGCCCATGGGTCAAATTGCAGAGTGAGGATGCACACTCAGGTGCTCTGCTTCTTAACCTCGGGCTCATTTCACTATAGTCTTCTATCTTGGATGGTCCAGACCTAGACCTCAGGGCCACCGAGTAGAGTGGAGAAGCCTGGTCTCTTCCCATCCAACTTGAATGAGTCTGTGATTCCAGTTTTCTTAAGAAAATCAGAACTGAGTGAGACTGCAAGAGAGACGTTGTTGGCACAGCCCCTGCTGACAAATCCAGAAACCCAAGTACAGACACACAGGGCAGGGAAACCACAAAAGCTTATGTATGATCTTTCAGCATGAATAGGAAGTAGGACAGTTTACTCTCTAGCTAGCAGAGCTGAGTGGAGCCTGCGGATGCGGATGCGCTGCTGGAGTCAGCAGGGCCTCCCAGCCCAGCCCAGAGCTCCTGCAAGATCAAAAGGAGGTGCCCAGGGCAAACCAGGTTTTAAATATTTGTTCTGAGCAGGGGCCTTCCTTTGTTTTTAACAATTCAGGACACAGAAGCATTTGGGATTGAATTTAATCAGCTGGCCACACTAAATGGCCTAGTAGAAAATAGCTCTGGTACAGAGGATGTGGGTTCAAATTCCACCTCTGATATTTGTCACCTGTGTGACCTTGGGTTAGTCATTTCACTTCCTGGGCCTTCAGTTTTCATGGCCTCTGATGTCCCAGGTAATTTATAAAAATATGATCTTATAAATCCTGGTCAAGTGTCTTCCCTCCTATACGTCTCACTGGCCTCTTCTGTAAAATGAGGGGGTTAGATTATGGAGTGAGGACAAATTGACCTATAGGTGATGTTGTAGGAGTCACATACCCAGAACTTCCCTAGAAACCTATGGGGTCTCCAAGGACAGTGTAACTTAATAATTGGGCCTTTTGGGGATGCCACATTTCCTGGCTGCCTCTGTCCATGTAATGACCCAGCCCTGAGAGGATTTGGCATTTTAGAAACCCTGAGTGGACTTTGATCATCTCCCTGCCCTACACCAGCAGCAGGGAGACAGGGTGCTACATCTTTAAAAAAAGTACACACACACACACACACACACACACACACACACACACAAAACACACACACACACACACACACACACAAAACACACACACACACACACACACACACACACACATCAGCTTCTAGCCGATTAATTCTATTTGATTGTAAACTCCTTGAGGTCAAGGACCATATTCTCAGCACTTAGGAAAGGCCCAGCACATAGTAGGTGCTTAATAAATGTTTACTAATTGATTTTGGCCAAACCCCTCCAGGTGACTGACGTGACTGTCAGGATCAAGGGGTTAGGAATGGTCCTTCCTCACCCCATCTTGTAATGACTTTTATGCCCGTGGACTTTCCAGTGCTGGGTCTCTGATACTTTGGCCACTGAACACCACATTTTACTCTTGTTAACTGCTGTTCTCACTCTCCCGTGTTGCAGTGAAGGCGGGTGAGGAAAAGAACATGGAAGACAGGGATCCCACTCTCCCACAAGAAATGAAGGTTCCGGGAAGGATTTGTATCTACTAATGCTGAAAGCAGCTTTGGGTGCTGGGAGGTGTCCGTGGAGGGAGCCAAGAACCAAAGAGGACCTTTTTCTCCACTGGCTCAAAGGCCATGTTTAGAGCAGCTCTCCTTTTCTGGTTGCCGGCTCTGGTCGTCATTTACCGAGGACTTGCCATTTCATCATGCCGACCAGACAAGAGCCCAGGCCGGGAGCGCTATCCGCTCCACATCGCTCCCTTGCTGTGAAGCCTGGTCGTAGCTCTGCAATTAGCCACGCACGAGCGTTGTTCAATGTCCCTATTTGTGTAAAAACCATATTACTTAATGCTTTTTAAATTGGTAATTAAAACCATCTAGGTTGCCGACGATGTGAGCTCAGGGACAAAATTAGGAGAGAAAAAAATAGCCGCGTTACATTCTTAGGGCTTCCATTCCGTTTCTTTGGCGGCGGTTGCCCCGGGTGCAGGCTGTCCTGCCCACTTGATTGACGGGCCACGGTTCTCTGAGCTGTTCACATACCTAGTGTGCTTGCTCCTTGGACTGTAGAAAGTAAATTCCATGGGTCTGCAAAGAAACACTACCTCGCTTTTTCTCCCATGTCCTTCTTCCCTGGTCTCCAGGTTGTAGAGGGCGTGTGCTTAGCAAACACAAGTCCCTCTAATGTTTAAAATGATAATGGTTAAATGCATAAAAGAGCGTGCATCAGAACTAGAGGCAGCCCCTCTGTGTTCCTTGGGCTTTCTGTTCTAAAATCGCCTTCAGATAACCTGTGTCGTGTCTGCTGTCTGATTCCCGTCGTCCTCCAAATTCTCTCCTTCTGCCTATCACGTAAAGAGTTAGCGTTTTCGTTTCCCATTTGTTACTATGACTTTAAAAAGTTCCTTTCTCTCTTTTGGCACATTTAACAACTCGCACCATTCCCGTTCTCCCTTACTATTCTGTGTTTCAATAATGATTTTGATCAACTTGTCCTCTAATTAATGCTTAGAAGGAATAACATTGGGGCAGCTTAGTGGGTGACATCATGCTGTAATAAGTCACCTGAAGCTATTGGGGGAAATGAGGCAATCCACCGGCCTTAGGTGTGTGATTATTTAACGAGGTTGCCTATGAGGGTTATAGCTAAGGGGCAGCAAATACTTCATGGAAAACGGGAAGAAAAAAAATCCTCACTATTTAGAAATGGCTTTGCCTTGAATATTAGTTCTTACTTACTTCATTCAGAGAATCAAGGACTCCCAGAGCTGGAAGGAGCTTAGAGGTCATTGAGTCCAATCCTCTGCTCAGAGTAGGAAAGCTCTCTAACCCCTACCCCATAAGTCTGGACTTCACTTGAGACCTTGAAATGATAGAGAGCTCATTATCTTTCAAGATAGTCGATTCTATCCTAATTTATTTTTTGACTATCATAATTGTGAGAAAGATTTTCTTTGTATGCAATGAAAACCTGAATTAGAATGAGAAGTTGTTAAGAAGCTCATTTTAGCTTGAGATAAGGAAGAACTTTCTAAGCCTTAGAACTCTATCCACATGGGAGGGGCTACCTTGGGCCACTGGGGTCAAATTCAGATAGAGAAACAAGGGGGCACTAATTATGGATCTCCGCAGGCACATAGTGACTTAGAAAGCCACATTTTAGCCCTGTGTCATATTGTATTATTATTCATTTTGTTAAAGATTTCCCAATTACATTTTAATCTGCTTTGGCTGCATCTCATACAGCCTGAAAACTGTGTTTGACACCTCTGTCTTAGGAGGTTGTGGGTACTGTATCACTGAAAAAGGCCAGATGAACACTGGCTATGGATGTTATTGAGGGGACTCTCTTCAGGTACAGGTCAGAAAGGTAGTTGGCCACCGAGGTCTCTTCTAACACAGCCACTTTGTCACAGTCATTGGTCCAATTTTGGCAGTTCTGGGAGAAGAGGAAAACATTTAATTCCTTGTCCACAAGACAGTCCTTCAAATATTTGAAGATGACTGTGATCTCTACTATGATTATCCTCTTCTCAAAGCTCAAAATAGACCAGTCCCTTTAATTGATCCTACTGAATATGTCAAGATTTCAAGTGCCCTTCCTCTCTTCATTGACTGCTTTGGACCTCCTCTAGATGTTTATGACCCCACTCCTAAAACATGGTACCCACAACTGAGCATAAGATTCCAGAAGTGGTCTGACCCAAGTTGAGTATGGTGTGATATACATATACATATATACGTGCATGTCATATGTATATGTATATGTATATGCATATACATATACATATATAATACACATTTATATCTATGTGTCATCAATCTTTATCTAACATCTTTCTCTCCTCCCCCCTCTCAGTCTCACTCTGTCTCTCTCGGTCTCTCTGTTGCTGTCTCTCTGTCTCTGTCTGTCTATGTCTCTCTCTCATTTTGTACTCTGCACTTCTTTTAATATAAAATCAAGTGATAGTTATCTAATGATCCCCAGGTCATTCTTCCTTCTCTCTCCAGTGACTTTAGTCCTTGCCTTGTTCTTGTTCTCTGCCTCAATCCCTGCCTTTAGAGTTGGGGACTTCACTATTTTTGTTGATTTCCCCTCATATACTTTCAATCATCGGTCCCTCAATGTCCTTAATTCCCTTGACTCCACTGTAGTCACACAAGGGATGGCCATGCTTTTCCTCTCACCATCACTCATAAGTGCTAAAGTTTCTCATGTTCCAGAATTCTGAAACTTCTCTAAGTGAACATCACCTCCTTCACATTTCCTGTGCGTCTCCCTTTCTGAACCTTTTCTTCATCCTAATATCACCTTCTATTCCCTTCATGCTTTCCTGGCTTTTCTAGTCCAGTGTCCTGTCATTCACTCCACTTTCTACCCTTTCAACTAGATTCTATAGTTAACCAGAATCTATTCAAGAAAAAAAATATATAACATGAAAAAAGGAGCATTTACCTTGAGAGATAGTGTAGCTTCATTAAAGGGACTGTGTCCTTCCTACTTTCTCCCTTTCATTTTATTCTTGACCCCCCTTATTATCGTCTATCAGTGCCTGTCCCACAGCTCTGTGCTGCTGGGCTAGACATGTGTCAGAGTCTGGACAATAAGTATTTCACATGTAATTATTTAATGTGTAATTTGTTAGACTTGTTTCTTTGGTGTTAATCATGGATCTATGATTATGGAATCATAGTGCTGGAGTGGAAAGGACCTTAGAAACTATCAGTCCCAAACCTCTCATTTTACAGATGAGGAAACTGAGGCTGAGAGAGGTTAAATTATTTGTTCAGAGTCATACAGCAAGTAAGTGACAAAAGCCACAATTTGAACCCAGGTCCTCTGACTCCAGGCACTGTACCACATTTACTATAACATAATGTTATATGCTAGGACAGGTAGGTGGCCCAGTGGATAAACTGCCAGTACAGGAGTCAGGAAGACTCTTCCTGCATTCAAATCTGGCCTCAGACACTTACTAGCTGTATGACCCTGGGCAAGTCACTTCACCCTGTTTGCCTCAGTTTCCTCATCTATAAAATGAGCTGGAGAAGGAAATGGCAAACTACCCCATTATCTTTGCCAAGAAAATCTCAAACGGGGTCATGAAGAGTCAGACACAATTTAAACAACTCAGCAAAGGGTCTGAGCCACACAGAACCATGCACAAACAGGAGCATCATCAGTGGGGAATCCCTCTTCTCCTTGGACCTTTAATGGGATGGTGGTGACCCCTTTGGCAAGCACATTTCCCTGTCTTATGCCTCACTTAACATTAATAAACACTGTCTAGACTGCCTATAAATATTAACTTAACCATAAATCTTCAAGTGCTCTAGAAATGTGAGCTGCTTTCATCAAGACTACTTTGGGTCGGTCAGTTCAAGAGGGAGAAAAGTCAGCTAATCTAGAGTAAGAAAACAAACCTTATAGGCTTCTCAGGGTGGCGGGATCCAGAAGGGAGGAGACCTGAAGGGGCCAGTCAAATGAAGGCTGGAAAGGAATACTGAGAGAGGAAGATGTGGGCAAAGCTAGGCTCACTTCCCTGAGGGCAGAATTGTTGATTCAGCAAAGCATCAGAAACCAGCCAATTTACAGAACCGGGAGATGGGGGTGGTGTCTGGAGGCCGACTGCGCCTGGCCCAGCCAAGGCTGGCTCTTATGTGGTGCGCACTTACGTTGCTTGTGACCACAGGAACCAAAGGAAAACATAACAGACAATTATCCTATGTTCTGTGTTCTGTTGACAATCGAAACAGACCAGAAGAAACCACCAGGCAGTCTCTGCAGGGACAAGCGTGCGGGAAACACGTTTGCTGTGTACTTGTAACGACAAAACAACCAGGAAAGAAATTGTACACCCCAGCCCCCAACCCTCTTCGCTATTAGAAAATATCTAACTCTGTAAATGTGTTCGATTAATGAGGATCACAGATTTAGTGCTATAAAGGAGCCCAGGGTCATTCGTTCAATAGCGCTGAAAGGTTTTCCAATCAATTTACGCATATGAACTCATTTGATTTTTACTGGTGAGGAAACTAAAGATGGAGGCATGTGCCAAGAATTTTGGTGTATCTCTATCCAAACGAGGTAAGCCTCCCTTTCAAGAGGCTTACTTATATTCTTACAGTCTCTTGTACATAAATATATACAGAATAAATATACAAATACTGAAATACAAGGGAGGGAGGGAGCAGCATGTAATAGGTGGAGGGGGCCTGAGTTGTATCTTGATGGAAGGGAGGCAATATAGTAGGTGGAGGTGAATACGGAGGGAAATCCAGGCAGGAAGGGCAACCAGTGCAAAGACACAGAGACTAGAAATGGAGTGTCCTGTGTGAGGAACAAAGAAAAAGTCAATTTTGCTTCGACTACACAGGGTGAGATAATGTAAAAAAAAAAAAAAAGGAAAGGTAGGAAGTGGAAAGGAACAAATATTAAGCACCTACTATGTGCCAGGCACTGGGATAAATGCTTTACAGATTGATTCCATTTGATGCTTATAGCAATCCTGTGAGACAGGTGCTGTTATTATCCCCATTTTATAGTTGAGGAAATTGGACAGGTTAAGTCTGGACAGAGGTTAAGTGACTTGCCCAGGGTCACACAGCTAAAAAGTGTCTGAGGCTGTATTTGAACTGAGGTCTTCCTGACTCCAGCCCAGCTCTATTCATTTCAACACCTAACTGCCTTAAGGAACCAGGTAGTGAGGAGATTTAAATGTTAAGCAGGGGAGTTTTACATTTAATTCTAGAGATGACAGGGAGCCATAGAAGGTTATCAAGTAAGGGTCAGATCTGTGCTGAAGGAAAATCCCTCTGGCTTCAGTGTATGGGATGGACTGATGTGGTGAGAGACTTCAGGCAGGGATACCATGAGGAGGTTATTGCAATATTCTAGGTGAAAAGTAGCAGCTTAAGTAGAGAGGAGAGGTCTGATTGGAGAGATGTTGTGGTAAAAATGGGCAGCTGATTGGATGTGCAGGTAAGTGGGAGTGATAAGCTAAGCACAACACCAAGATTATGAACCTAGAGATGAGGGGAATGTTGGTGCCTTCCATGTAAATAGGGAAGTGTGGAAGAGGAGAGTTTAGACAACAGAAAATCAGTTCAGTTTCAATCTGTTGGTTCTGAGATGTCTCGGGGACATTCAGTTTGAAATCCCTAACAAGTGGTTTGTGGGTGATGAGGACCTGAGGTTTTGGGGAGAGACTGAATTGGATATCTAGAATTGGTAGTCATCCAGATAGAGATGAGAGTAAGTGAATGAATGAATGAATGAATGAATGAAATATTAATTAAGCGATTACTGTGAACTAATACTATGCTAAATGCTGAGAATACAAACAGAAAAGCCAGCCACTGCTCTCAAAAAGCTCTTCTTCTAATAGGGGAGATGACCCATATGGGACATCTTAGCTGCAAGTCAGATGGGAAGGTCCCATGATCCACAGGGTGTGGTGGCCAAGCAGATGGTCATGGCTCATGCCAGGGACCTGGACTGACTCCATCAGGATCTAAGGGGAAATGGGGATCAGGACAGTAGGTGGTTTGACTTACCTGACATATGCTGCCTCTTCTCCCTCCCTCAGGGTACCTTGCTGCTTCATCTAGCTGGCTTAATTAAACCCATGGGAACTGAGGAGGAGAGAGTGAGGGGCAGAAGAAAGAATTCACATTTAAGAAGAATGATATGGCTGATGAGCCCACAAAGGAGATAAAGTGTGGTCAGGCAGTTGAGAGGAGAACCGGAACAGAGGGGTCACAAATCCCAGAGAACAGATAATATCCGGGAAGGTGAAGCCAAGTAGGGAAAAGCCAGAGAGAAGACCACCAAATTGGTCAAGTAAGAGACCCTTAGTAACTTGGAAATAAGCTGGTTCGGTTGAGGCCTAAGGCCAGATGGGAGATCCCAAAGTCTTAGGGAGGAAAAGAAGGGAGAGGAAATGGAGCCAAAGAGTGTGGGAAACTTTTCCAGGTTAAGAAAGAGGGGAGGAGAGACTGTTTGAAGGGATAGTGATATCTAGTGAAGATTTCTTAAACAAAGGGGGCACTTGGGAATTTTGAAGGCTATAGAAGAGGATCCGGTAGATAAGGGGAAATTGAAGATTAGAGAGAAATGATTGGATTGCAATCCATTAGAGAAGACCAGAAGGAGTGGGATCGAGGGATAGTAGAGGGTTGACTTTGGCAAGGAGAAAGACTCTCATATCATTTGAGAGTTGGGGAAAGGAAGAAAAGGTGGCAGATGATACGAGGGTGGGGTTGAGATGAAAGTGAGGAGAGGAGAGGGAGCTTATAACATATGGACTCATTTCTATAGTGAAGTAAAAGGTGGGGTCCTCAGGTGAAAATGGGAGTGGAGAGGGTAGGGCTGGGTGAGGCAATAAAAATTCAGAATCTTTTCAGTGAGGAGGGAGATAGGAAATCAATTTGAGAGGAATGAAAGGATTGCCTTGCTGCAGGAGGGACAACATGAATTTATAATGCATCTAATGCACTCATTTTAAAGACGAGTCTCAGGGCAGTTAGGTGGTGCAATGGATAGAGCTCAGGCCTTAGAGTCGGGAGGATCTGAGTTCAAATTTGACCTCAGACACTTGACATTTACTAGCTGTGTGATCCTGGGCAAGTGACTTAACCCTGATTGCCTCAGCAAAAGCTAACTAACTAACTAACTAAATACATACATACATAAATACAGACGAGTCTCTAAGAGGGAAATTAAATTGTCCAAGGCCACACATATCAAAGTTAGGATTCAAATCCACGTCCTAACTCCAAATCTACAGCCCTTTCCATGCTCTCTTCCTAATCATAATTCAAGCCTGTCTGGCCCTTTAAGATTCACAAAGCAGTCCCCTTGCAACAACACTGTGAGGTTGATGGATCAGATTTTCTTATCCCCATTTGACAGATGGAGAAGCTGAAAATCAGAGAGGGGAAGTCAATTGTCCATGATCACATAGAAAGTAAGTGTCAGAGGTGGGATCCAACTTGATTTCAATTCTAATGATTATTCCACAGTATTCCATAGGTACATTCTATTTTCCCCTTGATATCGAGGGCTAGAGTCAAACGGACCTGGTGCTGGGTAGTCTGATGTACCTGTGGTATAGACGATATGCATCATATTTCACCAAGTGAAGCCAAATATAGCAGAAGCCTAACCTGTTATGAGAGGTTTTTTTGGTGTCATCAATTGGCTGTAATATCAGAAACAGAAGATAGCACTTCCACATTATTGGATGAAAGCAGATGAAAGGAGAGCACACATTTCTGGAATAATATTAGTAAGCTGAAAAGCACCCAAGAGAGAAAATTGGGGAAGCGTAGCCCAACAATTCTATTAAAGACTTGGGATCCACAAAGGTCTTGACTGTGTAGAATGTTGTGCCAAATCCAGTAAGACGAAGCCTAATAACTATAAATGGAAAGTCCTAGATCTGGTTCCCGAAAAATCACTCTCATGTGTCTAGATATCACCTCATCGGAAAAAGGCCTGGAAATTTCAGCAGATTGTAAGCTCAGTTTCCATCAGCTATTCAATATGGCAGTTAAAGAGGTGATTCAGGCAGCTAGGTATTGTAGCAGCTAAAGCACTGGGCCTGGAGTCAGAAGACTCATTCTTGTGAATTCAAATCCAGCCTCAGATGCTTAGTAGCTGTTTCTCTGGACAAGTCATTTAATCCCATTTCCCTCCGTTTCCTCATCTGTAAAATAAGCTGGAGAAGGAAATGGCAAACTGCTCCAGTATCTTTGCCAAGAAAACCCTAAATGGGGTCATGAAGAATCAGACAACTGAAATGACTGAACAATGCCAAAGGAAGTAATAATCCTCACTATACTCTACCCTAGTTGGAAAAGATGTGGATGTCTGGAATATTGTGTTCTATCTGGGTAGCATATACTTGGAAGGATTTTGATAAACTATAATGTGTCTAGGGGCAGGTCATCAGGATTGGGAACACCCTTGAAATCATGTCATACTCGGACTTATTCTACTTGGGCCCAGAGGACATAGATAGGTGGAGACCAACAAAGGCCAAATTTAGGCTTGGTATAAAGGAAAAACATTTTAAAAAATAGTTATCCCCGGGTGGAATGTGCTGCCTCTGGAGGTACTGGGCACTACTCCAACACACAGCTGAGGTTTTCAGTCAGAGTCTGAAGGACGTTTGTTGAGGATGTCATAGGGTAGATTCTTGGTGAGGAATAGATTGAAGATGTTCTCTAACGTCTCTTCCATGGGGCACTGGCCCTGGAGTCAGGAGGACCTGAGTTCAAATCCAGCCTCAGACCAAACACTTGACACTTACTAGCTATGCGACCATGGGCAAGTCACTTAACCCCAATTGCCTCAAAAAAAAAATTACATCTCTTCCAACTCTGAGAGTGGGTGAGGTTAGGCGACTTTCCCAAAGTTCACCCCTTAGATATCTAACCATCTATTCAACCAATAACCTAAAGTCACTTGGCCCTGTATTGTTTAGCAGAAATGCAAAATCCAATAGAACCTTAGCTGATCACAAACTGAAGTATGCCTGCTTCTTCCTCACCCTGTTGGCTGGGTAAGTTATTTCCTTTTAATCTGTGCTTTGGGAAAC